TCCCGCCGTCAACCCTACGGCCCCTGTCGCTGGTTTGCCCCCTGAAGTTGCTGCCCTCCCGAGGCTTCCTGGATATGGGGAGACCCTGCTGGACACGCGCCCGTCCGTGGACCCGGGCGTGGCCCCCTCTGTGGCCTTCTGGGGGGCCTGGCCGTCTGGCGTGCCCTCTCCCCCCACCGCGGGACACGGGCACTTCTCACATGCTGATCCGATGCGATGTCTCAATCACCGCTTGCGCCCCTCGTGCTTTCGTGAAAGAGCGGGGGGGGATACGGCGCCACCGGCGACCTCAAGGCCGCTCGGGGATATTGTGGGAATTGTTACGAGTTTATGCAGTGCGGCAAGCATGCGACTGCGCAACGCCGATATCATACCTAACATGCGGGGGTGCGAGGTAGGGGCAGCGCGCAATGATGAAGGGGAGGGGGCCGCCCTTGACTGGGTTTCCGACCGCAATGCGGCGGAAGCTTGCGCGATACGGGTTGAAATTGCCCCGACTTTCAGCAGAGCGCATGCCCCTCAGGTGCACAGCCACTGCATGAGGTCCCACGTCTGGTGACAGGAGGAGTCCAATGGGGGGACGGTATAGTGTTCACCCACGACCCTAAAGTCCAGAAGACGCATCTGGACGCGTGCGGGGGAGGGGAGGCCGCCTGGGGTATGGTGTCGGGTATTACCCCTGGCCCGACCCTCTCGCCGTCAGGTCCGCCTTCTTCCTGGAGTGGCAGTCGGGCGCTCTGAAGGGGACTCGCTGGCTGCCTCTATGTTGGGGTCGCCCTGACCCCCCTCCTCGTGCATGAATTCGGAATTCTGCGCGCGACCTTTACCTTTTCATCTTCTGGCACGGGCTCAAACTTTTAAGCCCCAAGGAGCGAGCGAGCGAGCGAGGAGGAGGAGGAGAGGGAGGGGGAGGAGGAGGAGGAGAAGGAGGGGGAGGAGGAGGAGGAGGAGGAGGAGGAGGAGGAGGAGGAGGAAGGGGAGGGGGAGGAGGAGGCGGACAATTGCGCGGAGGCGCAGGCGCAGGCGCAGGCGCAGGCGCAGGCGGAGGCGGAGGCGGAGGAGGAGGAGGAGGACGAGGAGGAGGAGGGACGACGATGATGATGATGATGATGATGATGATGATGATGAGGAGGAGTAGGAAGAGGAGGAGGATTATTATGATGATGGTGGTGATGATGAAGATGATGATGATGGTGTCGATGCTGATGCAGCTGATGCTGATGCTGATGCTGATGATGTTCATGGTGCTGATGCTGATGATGAGGATGAGGATGAAGATGACGATGATGAGGGTGATGAGGATGATCCTGAGAATGCTGATGATGATGATGATGTTTATGAGTATGATGATGCTGATGCTGATGCTGATGATGATGATGCTGATGATGTCGCTGATGATGATGATGCTGATGCTGATGATGTTGTTGATGATGATGTTGACGCTGATGATGATGATGATGCTGATGATGATGATGATGATGATGATGATGATGATGATGATGATGAATATGATGAATATGCTGCTGATGCTGCTGGTGATGCTGCTGATGATTGTGCTGATGATGGTGGTTGTGGTGATGCTGCTGATGATGCTGATGAGAATGATGCTGATGGTGATGATGATGCTGCTGATGATGATGCTGGTGATGATGATAATGATGTTGCTGATGGTGATGATGATGATGATGCTGATGATTATGTTGATGATGGTGATGATGCCGGTGCTGACGCTGATGCTGATGCTGATGAGGATGACGCTGATGCTGCTGATGATGATGCTGATGATGATGATGCTGCTGCTGATGATGATGATGATGATGATGTTGATGCTGATGCTGATGCTGATGATGATGATGACGATGATGATGATGATGAGGAGGAGGAGGAGAGGGAGGACGAGGAGGAGGAGGAGAGGGAGGAGGAGGAGGAGGAGGAGGAGGGAGGAGGAGGAGGAGGAGGAGGTGGAGGAGGAGGAGGAGGAGGGGGGGAGGGGGAGGAGGAGGGAGAGGAGGAGGGGGAGCAGGGGAGGAGGGTGGAGGGAGGGGGAGGAGGGGGAGGAGGGGGAGGAGTGGGAGGAGGGGGAAGGGGGGCGCCGGCGTCGCCGATGCATCGCCGATGCATTGGCGGTGTTGCGCGATCCACCAACCCCAACTACTCGGAACCCATGTGGGAAACATCTATTGCTTGTCGGCAGTGCACTCTGGAGTGGGATGTCTTGGCGGCGAACCCTGGGGACAAGTGAGAAGGAGAAGGCCTTCTCAGAAGGCTCGGAAACCTCCCAGCCTTCTGAGAAGTTTTCTGAGCCTTCTCCGAAGACACGGTCAACTTCTCAGAAGGCGCTAGGGTTTCTGAGAAGTTCCGCCGTTTTCTGAGAAGGCCTTCTCTTTCTCACTTCCCCCTTCGCTCGCCGCCGAGTGTTCCTGGCCCCTTTGGAAGGACAGCCACTTCAAAGACATCCTGCGACGCGAAGGTGAGCTTCGGCCTGGAGTTGGACGACGAGGCGCGCCCGCGTTCAGTGCGACCTGCCCTCCTTAGCGCTCTTCCTTCCGGTGGCCGTCTGGGCCCACTTTGTCATCGTCAGAGGCGCCGATAGGAGCGAATAGCCTAGGGGAGAGCAATCCATGTATGCAGGGGCGCCGATGATCCATGTCTTCGGCGAGGCTCCTGGGCGAATGCGCGTAATGCCCGCCCCTGGGCTATTCGCCCTTACCATCGCCGCCGACATCGGCCGATGCCGCAGTTGGCTTGACGTGGTGGTGGTGGTGGTGATCTTCTGCCAACGGTGGTCATAATGACTGCTGGCTATGTGGCAGTCAGACTGGCGGTGGCTGTACCGACGGTCGTCGTCAGGTAGGCCCAGGATGAGGATGAATCGATATAAAGGCGTTCTGGAACGGTCTGAACGTTCGTGGGGCCCGATACATCCTCCAGGCCCGCTGGTTCTCAGAGCTTTCCGATGTATCCTCGTCCGTATTTATCCTCATCCTGCCTCAGTTCTACGTGGTAGTCGAACTGAGGGGAGCGGGAGCCACGCGGGCCTTGCTTTACCCCTGCACGCGCGTGGCTGGAAGGGGAGGTGCGCGCGCTGAGTCCGCGCTGGGAGGTAGCGCGGGGGAGGGGGGCTCGCGGGGAGGGCGCGGGCGCGGGCGGTGGCGCGCGGCACTGTTCGTTTTAGCGCTGCTCGCTCTGGTCTGCATTCATTGGCGGCCGCGATCGCATTTTTCAGGTTTCTGTCTGTGTGTGAGCGAGCCGTCTTTGAGCTCGTGGGAGTGTAGTTGCGCCCCATTCAGTGTGTGCGGCTGTGTATGTGTGAGAATCACGTGGCCGGGTAATCATTTGTGAGATCCGAGGAGTTGGTGCCTGTGACAATCAAGATTTGTGGTTTTCGTAGGAGAATCAAGAAACCAGGCATTTGTCATAGCGCGTCTCTCCCTGTCGCTCCACTTTGCGCTCCCGCACAAGGTGATCGGCCTAATCTCGCTGTGAGCGTTTCCCTCTGCAGTTGACCAGCGTCTGCGACCCACTGCCGCGCTGGACTGGGAAGTAGAAGTGCCCTTCGTCCGTCCCGCCCAGTGGCAGCGGGCGGTGGTGGCGTCCGTGAAGGTACACATACTATATGGCCTTGGTCCGAGGCGGGGATTCATCCATAACCACCGCCTGGAGAATCGATCTCCGGGGACCTCGGCAGGCGGTATTCGGGCCCCTTGGGGCCCAAATGTGTCCGTGTCCACCGTCCCCCAGGCCCAGGCAGTGCATATGCACACATCCCCGCCTCGCACTTGGATGAGGAAGTGGCGACTTCGTGCTGGCCCCTTCCTGTTTCTGAGGTTTTCTACTGTTTCCGATCCTTCGGAACCGGCAATTTCACGCCAACCCCGGGGCTCTGCCCTTGCCGGCGGTTGCGGGGTTTCGTGCGCCAACCAGGGTCAGTCGGACTGGGCTCTGCTGCTGCACGTGCTCGCAAAAGGCCGCGCGTGCTGGGAGCGGGCACAAGCAAGGTGCTGAGATAAGGACCACTTTGGGCTCTGGAGGGGCTCCCATGTCCGGGCGATTCCTCAGACCTAGGTCGGGGAACGTATTCAATCGCTTCGCTCATTCGGCTGGCCCATATTGCACCATTGCTGCTGGTGTGCCCACGGCGGTCCAGAAAGAGGATATGTAGGGGGCTCGATAGGAGAGGAGGAGGGGGAGGCTGAGGAGGAGGAGGAGCTAGCAGTTGCAGATCGGTAAGTCAACCCGGTCCTGTACGTACCCTTTACGTAAAGGCACAGATGGGTCCTGATCCTCACTCAGAACAGCCAAGGTGGTTGTCGTGCAGCCCCCAGACCGCGCATACCCAGACATGCGTACTGCGTCTGACCGTATGCGGGAGAGCTCCGTCGGCGAGACCTTCATGATTCCGCATCCCCAGAGCTGTTGTGAACGCACAGACGCCTTCGTCAGGCGTCGTCCCATGCTTGGCCTGACGTCCGCCTTGAGCATGTTCTTGATGACACCAAGCTTGATACCTGCTTTCTGGATGCGTGCACGGCGTGTCTGCACCACCCGCCGAGTTCCTGCAGCAGCGTCGGATCCAAGGTCGCGCGTGTGCGCTGCAAATTTCAGCTGCAGTTGACAGTCAGAATTCGAGCGGCTCTGCACGGTTTCTGCCACCTCCCTTGAGCTGGAGACAAGCGCAGATTTCCCTGAAATTTTAAGGCCTGCCAAATTCATGTGTCACGAACAGGACAATCGACGCAGGCGCGTGCATGAGCAAATGCCGCACCGTGCCTTCAAGGCGCAGTGCAAAATCGTCAACGTATGTTCTGAGAGGCATGTACGGCCGTTCCACTCGACAGATATCACCAACTGCGCGCACTATGATCTTGGCCATGTTGGTCGCCTCCTGGCAGCCAGCTGGCACGCCGTTGTCAGCAAGAGCGCTCGTCCCACAGCATTGGGCCACGCGTACAATTCGGAGAGCCGTATAGATCTGCACGAGCATGGCGGGAACCGTGACCGAGTACCTCAGGTGCATTGCTTCGACAGCCAATCAAGTAAGGTCGACCATCTCATAGACCTTGTGGCCGTCAAGGTACGCCGTTTACATGTCCATGCCAATGGCGACGGCAGACTCGTCCTGTGCAGCACGATCGTACGCCGCCTTGCAGGCGGAGTACCCCGGAGCTACATCGTTGTACCTTTGGTCAAATCCACGCAGCCACCCCAGGCCGGCCAGTTTTCGACACCGCGCCCAGACGCGTACCAAAGTACAGATCAGGCCGATTGGCCGAGTATCTCCATTGGTTTTTGGCAGTAAGGAAATAATGACCAAGAGCAGCTGCATTGGCCATCGCCAATGTGTTTCGTACAAGTTGAGAGCATCCGCGACAGCTTGCTTCCCGGTTCTGGGCAAGAGCTTCAGCAAGCGCGGCGGGAGTTTGTCCGCTTCCAGGCCCGTGTCGTTCTTGAGCGTCGACAACGCACGGTCCACCAACGTCACGTCGATTGGTGGGAGTTCAACTGGATCAGGTTGTTGACACATCCACGCGACCAACTGGCCTAGCATGGCCCTCTTGTTCTGATCGCGGATCGCGTTCCCACAGCTGCCCACGCGTCCTGGTCAGCGTCAGCGGTGCTCTTGGAATCAGTGCGCCGCTGGCCATCGATCACGCTGGCCTTGTGCTCAGCGTGATCGATGGCCGCAACGGCCCCTTGAAGTGATCAACCTTCGAGTTTCGAATCCAAGATACATAATCATTCCGCGCAGCAGCGGCGGCCCGCACTTCAGCGCGTTGGAGCCAAGGCGCTGCCTGAGCCCGCATGGACTCGAGATCAGCCGCGTCCGCATAAGATGCCTCTTGCAGGAGGTCCATCCAGAGCAACTGATGACCTGCGGCATCCTCTGGCTCCATGTAGTCGTCGAAGAGCTGGCTGTGCATCGCGGATCAATTATAATAACAATAATATTACTAACGATTGGAAGGATATTACGAGTTCACAGACTACTAACAATAGTAATCATGATCATACGTAGGAACAAGAAACATACTAGTGTGAAGCAGCATGTTCATACTACGAATATCAAAATTATTTAATCGCTTCGCTCATTCCGCTTGCCCGTATTGGTGCACGGCTGTCGAGTGCCCGTGTGATCGTTGTCAATGGGATGTTGCTGGGTCGTTTTTTTATGGATGGCTGGCTTTGGGTGATTTCGCAGGCGGGAACCATTCTTTGCCCGCCTGAACCTGCTGTTTCGGAAAGTGGCGGCCGGCTCGTGAATACGTTCGCAGGGAAGAAGACAACATTTTGCAGCTTCCTTTTCCCGGAAAGGGCGTATGCCCAGGGTTCTCTTTTAGCAGGTTTACCCCCGGTTTTGACGGCTGTAGGGCCGGCGAATTTCTTTTGCGATACATAACGAGGTCGCGTAGGGCCGGCGAATTAATATCTGAGGATGTCTCGAGCGAAACGCTTGTGTTTCAGAATTTGTTGAGGATGTCTCGAGCGAAACGCTTGTGTTGTGTTGTATATTGTCCTTTCCTGGGGACCTGAATTCTGAGGATCTCTCAAGTGGATTACTTGTTTTCAAGTGCCCAGGTGTTGAGGATGTCTCGAGCGAGACGCTTGGTTTCACGCCTCCAGGTGGCCCAGACAGATGTCTAGCATGAGGATTTGTTGAGGATGTCTCGAACCAGAGGCTTGTTTTCACGTGTCCAGGTCGCCCAGGCGGATGTCTAGCATGCGCATTTGTTGAGGATGTCTCGAGCGAGACGCTTGTTTGCACGTGTCCAGGTTGCCCAGTCGGATGTCTAGCATGAGGATGTGCTGACAACGTCTTGGGCGAAACGCGTGTTTTCACGTGTCCAGGTCGCCAAGGCACAGCACAGCCCTCGGCACGGTACATCAATATCGATACCCTTAGCATTGCAGCCTGGCATGTTGCCTGGCACGTTCCGCGGAGCGTCCCGTGGCGAGTCCCCCTGGCACGTCGCGCGGTGCACGTCCATTGGCACGTTCCGTAGCGCGTCCCCTTGGCACGTCCCGCGGTGCGTGCCCATGGCACGTCCCCTGGCACGTCGCGTGGCGCGTCCCTTGGGACGTTCCCCGGCGCGTCCTCTTGGTATGTTCCCTCTGTCGATTAGTTCTGGGGCAGCTACCATCTGCTCAGGCAGCTCGAGCTTACGATCCAGATCCCTTCGGTGAGGACTCGGATGCCAGGGAGGACTCGATCCACAACGCTATATAGAGCACAATCGCGGCATGGCACATCGCAGTTCAGCACGGCCCAGCACAGCACAGCCGTCGGCACGGTACATCAAGATCGATACACTCAACTATGCACCTTGGCACGTTCCTTTGGCGCGTTCCGTGGCGAGTCCACCTGGCACGTCGCGCGGCGCGTCCCCTGGCACGTCCCTCGGCACGTCCATTGGCACGTTCCGTAGCGCGTCCCCTTGGCACGTCCCGCGGTGCGTCCCCCATGGCACGTCCCCTGGCACGTCGCCTGGCGCGTCCCTTGGG